ATCAGTGTGCAGCTGTTTTGTGTGACATGTCTGAGCCTTGAATGTCTGGTAAAAGTTCTCACATGAGAGAGAAATTTGGTTACTATAATGTTAATAGAAACCTGGGTTTGTTTCACATACTCATGACATCTTTGAATTGGGTGCCAGAGGACCTTGTCCCAGCACTGGTAAACAAGTAACTTTTGTAAGGCCAATCTCCAATTACTTAGACAGAATAGCATCCAGAAGTAGCCTGACAGAGTGGGAGTGTGTGGCACAAGGGTGGATAAATTACTATGGAACTCAGGAGCCAGCAGGATTTGTTTTATTAGCCAGCTCCATTGAAACAGCTAGAGAAAAACTCAAAAGTTTGAGGCCAGCTGTAATTTTTAGGGAACATTGGCTCCTTGGCTCCTGGGATTTGTCCAGTCCTGACTTAGCATAGGATTCTGTGAATAGGAAAATGTACAATGATCTCTGCTTATAGTAAGAAAAATTCAGGTGAGAACATCTCCTTAAACACAGGTTAGTGTGAGAAAATCTCTGGGTTGATTAACATGAAGTAGGGATCCCTCTTAATTAACAGTCCTGGGAAGGTTGCAGCTCCTGCAAGCACTGATGGGTTGTCCTAGGAACAGTGGTCAGAACAACCAAAACAGATACATGCCCAGGTCCTACACAGCTTCCTGGTTGTGGTGCGGTTTGGGTCCCATAGACATCTCAATGCATTGAAAAACGTGTGACAAAAGCGCGGTTTACAATTAACAGTCACACGATCGAAAACACGCGACAACCGCGAAAAAACAGCTCGGCATCTGAATCGCCTAGGTGTGAACCTAGCCTAAAGCTACTCCTAGGAGGCCCCTTGCTCACACTGGTCCAGTTCAGCATCTTTTCCTTTTCGCTTTTGTTCACTAGTCATAGGGCAGGAGTGGACAAATGAATATGGAATTCAGGAGCCAGTCTGCTCCATTGACAAAAACTAGGTAACACCTATACAAATTAGGTGCCAGCTGTAATTAGTAATTGGAATTGTAACTTATCTAGGCATACATTACGTTATACACATGTTTTAATGTCCTGTAGACATATATATGTATTTATAATAAAGGTATAAACAGTATATATTGTCCATTGAATGCAAAATGCATACATTTTGTGTATGGTCAAATGACATGCTGTTTTGTATGTGAACTGGGTGTCTAAGGTTTCTTGTAGGAGAGTTAACTGTCCTTGTAACCCAATTCTGCTATATCATATGTAAGGGATTGTCTTTATATCACATTAACCTGGGGGTGAAAACAAGGGGCAGAACACATGAATAAATTATACCCCTAAAGCACAATGACTTGATGTGGAATACTAGAGCTAGCCCTTCTAGGGTTTTCTCTAATGTGATTAAATGCTATAGCCAATGGCCATCCTGTCCACGAGATCATTTACTGTGACCGGAAGGAAGATATTATCCCAGTGCAGATCTGAGATTCAAACATTTCTAAATGCTACAACGCTAAAAAGGCTACTACAGGCCATGTATAAATATGGAAGCATTTTCAATGCAAGTAAAGTGGCACACATTTAACTACGCAGTTTTTGGTGTAGGATTACTAACCTCTGTCATTTCTTGGGTGGAGGATTGCTATAGTAAAGGTGGCCATACACCTTACAACCATTGTACAACTTTTTTTGTCCAGACATCTCACCCTCGTTCAATTTTCTTACAACTAGCCCATCATGCGCAGACCAATGTAGCTCGCAATTAACGCTTGTCAGCACCACCACCTGGCTGATTTTAATCAATCGAAAGGACAGATTTCATTTGAGCATGTGCAGTTTTCATCGTGAGATTTTTGTTGTACAACAATCCCAATAACCTGTCAATTTTCGTCTAACTAGACAAAAGTTTTCTAGCCTGCTTGAAAGACAAAAGTCTGCCAGTTGTACAGAAATTGAGGTTGTGCACTCCCCATCAACTGGCAGATTTTCGGACGAAAACGTAATCGCAGATAAAACTCTCCAGCTAATTGTAAGGTGTATGGGCACCCTTAGGGTATTCAGTGATCTTGCAATATGTGTTTTCTATTTAGTTGTATCATGGTCCTTGCAAGGGACAACAAAATATTTACAGTGGAGTTTAATTTGAGAAGAAAAAATGTAATTTTGAAGGCATGTAGCATGAAAAACTGCCGATTAATGTGGTGTTAATTTCCTAAAGTGTCATCACTTAATTAGGCCTAAAAATTACTTCAAATCCCCAAACTATTATATATTTTCTGAAAGCCAACACCCTGTAGAATAAAATGGTGGCAGTTGCAAATTTTTATGTTGCACGATTTTGGTGCACCTCTTTTGGTACCCCAAAACACAATAAAATACCAATTTATTGATAAAATATAAAGGAGGAGGTTATAACGAGTAAACAGATACCCAACATGCCCAGTTTAAAAGTTGCGTGCGCCGTGAAACAGCAAGAAAATTCAGTATCCCAAAAAATCCATAGATGATGCTTTAAAAGCCCCTACAGGCCATCAGTGTAAAGATACGTATAAATATTGTTTTTGCATATATCTACAGCTAGCAAGCAGTAGACATATGCAAAACGATTAAAAAAAAAAAAACTTTCAAAGGGTTAAAACTTACCTGTGTCTCCGCTCCCATCTGAACATCTGAAAATTCTCGGGCGGCCGCAAAGGATCTTTGGGCAGGTGCATGCGCAGTTTAGATCTTTGGCCGGTGACAAGGAGAGACACAAGGTGAGTCTATGGAGCAGCGTGCACCCACACAGACTCCTTGGGACAGGAAGTGCCAGCTAGCACAGAGGAGTCAGCGCTGGATCGGAGACCTACACCAGCGCTGGAGGGACAGATGAAAAGTACAGGAAAGAAGAAGATGGTCGAATTAAGAGGCATCATTTAAGGTAAGTCCTTACATTAGCAGTGGGGGGGGGGGACTTTAGCCTTTAATGTCACTTTAACTATTACTTAACTTCATCGCTATCACATAGGGGCTCACAAGCCCCCTATGTAATAGCACTTTAGTGATGACAGGTGTATTAGATCCCCAATGTCACCTTTGCAGCCCATTGAAGCTGATCAAGCACAGATTTGCTTGATCAGCTTCTTACCCGGCCTCTCTGGCTGGGGAATGACAGCTCAGAGATGGGAAGTGACAAAATTATTGTCGCTTCCATCTTCATGGGAGGACATCAGCAAACAGATGTGAGCTTGGAGCAGTGGCTACTTTACAACACACAGGGACCATGGGGAGCAAGAGTAGCCACCCTCCAGAAGGAAGGACAGTGTCAGCACCAGTTCAGAGATGATTTGAGGATCTACAGCCGAGTGATACACAAATAAGATACATTTTTGTTAATAGTTAAGTAGTTTTATATATTTTTAAGATTTAACTCCTGAGTTTATTGTCACTTGAATCAGCATTTGAAATTAACTATTTCTTTCAGTGCTGGGTGTAGCTCCATCCCAAACTAAAGGTTTATAGGGTGGTTCCTATGCAGTCAGCACTAATGTAACCTACCTTCATTCTGCAGCCCTCTGCCCCCTCCTCTAGAGACCCCACATGACCCCTACCCCTCCTCCTCTGAAAGCTGCCAGACGAAACATCTTCAGCTCTTCCGTGCAGCTCTGTGACATCTCTCATCTCCTTTGCCAGCTTCTTTGAGGTAACAAGAAAAATTGGGCCCAGACCCGGTGCCAGCTATTCAGCGGATAGGGAATGCAGTAGTAACTGTCAGCTTGTGTTGTTGTGAATGTCAGCAGCTAACATAAGGCCACAGCATAATCCAGCTACTACACTTGTCTGTTGGCTGAATGACAAAAACCTAACAGTGTATAACCAGCTTAAAGAGGAACTAGACCAGGTGTGGGCAACCACTGGCCCTCCAGCTATTGTGGGACTACAAGTCCCATGATGCATTGTAAGACTGACAGTTAAAGGTATGACTTACAGAGGCAGAGGCATGTTGGGATTTGTAGTTAAAGCACAGCTGGAGGGCTGGAGTTGCCCAGCCTTAAACTAGACCCATAAATTGCAGGAATCCCAACCTGAAATAAGTAATTTCAGGGAGGTGCCCTTCTCATTTCAGGGAGGTGCCCTCTGACCCCCCGACTACCCCCACTCCCCACCCGGGGGTGACAGTATGGTTTAACAACAAGGAAGAGAGCACCCCTTAGCAAGGAAGCTGAGGCAGCAGCAGAGGGCGGGTGTAATAGCTAGTCTGCTATTGGCTAGTACAATTTGCAATAGCCAATAGCAATCTAGCTATTCATTCATATGCCGTTTTTTTTTTTCTGACAGAGGGCGGCCAGCGGCCCAATGTAAAAAAAAAAACAAAAAACAGAGCAGAGAAAGGTTTACTCTGCTAGATAGAGCAGAGTAAACCTTTCCGGGAGAAAATGTTTCTCTCCCAGGTGTCTGGGAGCCGCTATCTAATAGCGAGAGACCCACGGAACATCTGGGAGAGTTGAGATGTCTGAAATTGTCTCCCAAAACAGTGACATTTAAGGCATGCCAACTGTCAAGGTTGTCAGTATGCTTATTTCAGCTCTCAACCGCACTTCCTAGCTGATCCCGTGCCCATCGCCATGGTGACTATAATCCAACTAGTGACTAAGATGGCGCCTTTCTTGGCTGTAACGGATAAGAAGTTGTAGTCCTGCTACAGGTCCTATATTTGTGAGGACAAGAATGGATGGGTGTGGGGGTTGGTGAATGTGAGTATCAGTAGAAGGAGGGTGTTATTAAGAGAACCTGTGACATTACTCTGAATGTGCAAGGTGACAGGGTCCTTTTAAACTTGCTTCACAAACATTAGAGCATGATCAGAAATAAAAATACAAGTAGGCTCATCTATGTGATCCTAAACCACAAGCTGATAAGATGTTTATAAAGCAAACACATACAAGTGCGGAGTAACAAGAAATTATCATGAAAGAAATATACTCCCACATAAGTCGGTAGCTAGGAAACAGACACTTCCGGCACTGTAAAAGGAGGGGCTTCAGCTATGGTGTCGGTGTGTGTCTAGAAGCGTCAATTTGTAGCCCCGCCCCCTCGTTGATTTTTGCAAGAACATGGCTGGCAGCGCTTGGAGGTCACTGGTGAGTGATGGGACTGGTCAGGTCGTAGGGGGAGTGCGGCTGTGTGAAGGTCACACTTGGCCTGTGCTGGGCTTAGGGGGGCTTGCTACCGAGGTCAACCGAGTACAGTCGCCTGCTGGGGGCTAAGTACCGTACCAGCAGCGTGTACGGCACTTGGTATAGTCGTAACGGGGTGTGTAGGTGAATTACGGTACCGCAGTGTGTGTGGTCAGAGGAGCAATTATAACGGGTAATACGGGGGTGTGCGAAGGGAGTGTCACGTGACTTGGAGCTGACTGCATTGACATTGCGAATCACTGGGGGTGAGCCTGGCAGCGCTCTGCAGCCATAGCTACATGAGTGGGCACAGATTGATTGTGTGTGTGTGTGTGCGCAATGATCATGCCCTGGACTTTGCATGGCCTGACTGGCTGGGTGCCAAATATTTCTTACTTACATGGTAACTGAGTAAAGGTTAAAGTGACACTAAACACAGGAGTTACATCTTAAAAATGCCTTCAAATACCCTAACTAATGAAGAAGAACTCTAGGAATATTTTGTCTTAACCCCTGCAGTGGGACTATCCTTGCACAGCAAGGGTTAAGTGACTGTGTCTAGGTGCTAAAATAACAAAATTATACTCAGCCGAAGCTCTGAGCTGGCCAGCTGTCACAGCACTCCCTCCACCCTGCAGCATTGGAATCTTCCTCCATGTCCTCATGTCTGTACACTAGGTATAGATGTTGATGATATATACCAGGGGTCAGCAACCTTTTACACACCGAGTGCCATTTTTGCAACCATCAGACAACCGAGTGCCATTGAACAATAGTGCACCATGGTATTAGCAAATTTCAGTTTTTGTACTCATAGTTGTACTGCTAATAATAAGATACGGAGCATTAGACCTCTGCAGAGGAGGGGCAGAGGCATTGGAAGAAGCTGGTGTTCTTTAGAAAGCTCCGACTTATCGAGCTCTCCGACTGGGCACGTCACATCCGGTGACTGCCAGTAGGAGATGAACATCAGATGGAGCTCGAGACATTCCAGACAGTCACCAAATGGTGCCCCCGCCCTTTTACTCCATTGTAAACTACGGCCCCTGTGGCACAGAGGCAGATGGGACTTGTAGTTTTTTTCCCAGTCACAGACCCTGTGAATGAATGATGCAGCTGTATAAATGGAATCACAAACATCGTGCCAAATTTAAAAAAAATACAGGAGTCTACAGGGAGAAGCACCCCACAGTTCAGGCAAGTTGGGGTGTGGGTGTTTCATGTTACACCTTAAAATAACCTGTGGCCAAACCTTTTTTTTGGGGGTGGGGGGGATTTAGTCCTCTTTTGGGTCACCGCAGTAGATTTACTAATGTACTTCTGTGACCCGAAGTCATCATATAGCGGGCAGCACAAATCCGCGCTGCAGCTGGGAAGGATCTCCCGACATTGTCATGATCCGCCCCCACTGTCTGCTTGACAGCTGGCCCTGCCTCTCTAGAGTCAGAGCCAGCTGTGCCTGCCCCCTCCCCTGTCTGTCCCTCCAATGAGCACTGGAGGAACAGAGAGGGTAGGGGGGGAATTCCTGCATGGCGTGGTGACTAGTGATGGGATTGGGCGTGTTCGCAGCTCCATGTGCCGAGCCCGCCAGAAAGCTGACAGCGCCGCAGCGCCAATCACAGGCACTGAGGCATATCCCGATCTCTGCAGCTGCGGACCAGGATAATGCCCGAGCCCATCACTAGTGGTGACTGACACTCGCTGTTCTCTGCAGGGAGAAGACTGAGCTGAGCGATCAGTGGTTTGTTTGTTTGTGATCGCTCACTTCTCGAGCTATAGAGCCGAGAATCGATTGATGGTCCTTTTAAGTCTAAGGTGACTGTTGAAACCATGTTTCACCCATATTTAGGGGGAACGTGAACCATGGTCACATCCCCAGCCCTGCACCTCCAACATGCCCTCGTACTCGCCTGGATTGCAGGGTTCTTCATCCTGAAGCATCCAGGCATTGTTTGAATTTGGCATGGCTGTGTGTGGCTTTGACCAAACCACCATGTCATACGTTCATAGATCCATTGAAAGGATATGTGATTGGAAAGCCTACAGATCCCCTCTTTGTAGTTCTTAGTGGAGTAAAAGTGTGGTGACGTCAGATCACTTGTAGTCCATTCATTCTTCCTCGCGTCCATTAACTGAAAGTCTATACCTTGGTAAGGACATGGATAGGAGAGAAGAGTCTGCAGGAGCCAGAGCATTGCACCCACATTTCACTGATTGAGGTTCCAATGTAAAAAAAATAATACATGCGCATGCTTTCTTTCATGAATGTGTGTGATTTTTTTTTTTTAAATTTATTTTTTGTAAAAGCTGGACTATGCCTTTTAAGATTCTCCCAAAATTGTACTGCAGCAGATGTAACTGTTGATTTGTCTTTTTTTATTGTTACTATTGCAAGTTTTATCTAATGTATGCCTATTAATGATTTGACAGATATAATTTCTATAATTCAAATGATATCTGGCGTATAATGAGCTTTCCCTTAAATATGAACTAAGAAATTCATGTCATGGCTTATTTTGTGTTTGCGTTCTGATATTTTTGGACAGGTCTGTCGCTTGGCTGGAGCAGTTAACAGCCAAAATGGAGCCAGAGGCCTTGCTAGCCATGTAAGCACACCCTCCTTATTTTCTGAGTGTGTTGTAGGGACCGGTTTGTGCTGCTGTTCTTATTCTTCTCTTTACACTTCTCATCTACAGATGAGGATGGTCACTATGATACCAGGAGATGGGATTGGGCCTGAGATTTCCACTGCCATCATGAAGATTTTTGAGGCAGCCAAGGTTAGTAATCGAATATGGGAATTGTAATTCATTTTTCTTTTCTTGACTGCTGTCCCCGTGGTGCAGTTTACAGACTTTACTGATTTCTGACTCTTGGGTTTTCTTTTGACAACATGAAAGCAGCAAAAATTAGATGCTTCATTGATTGATGGATGAAAATTTTTGGAATTCGATGACTCTCCTCATACCATGTCTGGAGCAGATCTGCAAACGCAGTGCAAGGTGTTTTTGCCGCATTCCAGTGTGGTTTTCTTGTTTTTTCTGTTTGTTTTTAGCTTAAAGGGTTTCTAAAGCCTCCATTTTTTTGCATATATCTACTGCTAGCAAGCAGTAGATATATGCAAAAAGTGTAAAAAAAAACGCTTTAACAACGGTTTAAACCTTACCCTGTCTTCGCCGCGCGCTCCCGTCAGAAAATCCGAAACTGCTCGTGTGGCCGCAAAGCATCTCGGGGCAAGCGCATGCACAGTTCGGATTTTCGGCCGGGAGACGAGGAGAGACGCAAGGTAAGTCTAGGGACACGTGCACCCGCATGCAGATACCGTGGGGCAGGAAGTACCAGCAAGGACAGAGGAGTCAGCGCTGGATCGGAGAGCCGCCGCACCGCTGGAGGGACAGATTAAAACATCAGGAAAGATTGGATTAAGAGACATAATTTAAGGTAAGTGCTGAAATTAACATGGGGGGGGGAGGGGGAAAAAAATTGACTTTAATGTCACTTTAAAATGGGCTTTCAGGTGCAGTCCAGTGTGTTTGCATGTGGTTTTTATGGGTTTATATGCGTTCCAGTGTGTTCCGGACCAGAGAAAATTAGACTAGTAGTATTTTTCTGGAGGGGGGATTTTTTTCGGAATTGCTATGCTGACGTCATCACGTCAATATCGCTCTCTACATCATTGAGAAAGTGTATAAATAGCCACTTATGAATAAGCCTACGGGGAGAGGTTGTAGCTGGCTGGGGGTTTGCGGTACTGGTATTTGCTGCTTTATACACTTTAATTCACTGTTATACTGGATTTGCTGTGAATTTCAATAAAGTCTGAAGTATTGGAATTCTCTGGCTAGTGCGGTCTGTTCGTATACTGCATAATAAATGTAGTTTGCATTTTTTTTTATCTTTTGTAATAAACAAACTATAAAGATTAATTATGTCCTCAAGTGCCAGCTTCGTGCTGCTTAGTGCATGTTGACAGCCATTCATAATGAAGTTTCTGTTACTACAGGCACCTATCCAGTGGGAGGAGAGAAATGTTACAGCCATTCAAGGCCCTGGTGGCAAATGGATGATCCCCCCTGAAGCCAAAGAATCTATGGATAAAAATAAAATGGGTCTTAAAGGTAACCCTTTTCTTATTGTCCTGACTCTGATACAATTAAGTTACGAACTGTATGTGATATTTCATGCATATTGTTTGTTCAGGCCCTTTGAAGACACCAATTGCTGCTGGACATCCGTCCATGAACCTGTTACTTAGAAAAACGTTTGATCTTTATGCCAATGTCCGCCCCTGCGTCTCCATTGAGGGTTATAAGACTCCTTACACAGATGTGGATCTGGTTACCATTCGGGAAAACACGGAGGGAGAATACAGTGGCATTGAACATGTGGTATGTCAATCTGGCAGCATTCGTTATGTCATTTATAGTGGAATCATGGGAAAAAGTAAGGGACCGGGGTTGTCTTTATAAATAATTCTGATACATTTTCTATCATGCAGTGAAAAGTGCTGGTAATGATTCTAATTGGCTAGGTAACACCCTTCGTTTCTGGGGGGTTTTTCAACCCCCATTATCATACCATGACGTGAAAAATCTTTTGGTAACTTTTCCCTGTCAATGCTTTTAAATAATTCAATTACTCCCCCCCCCCCCCTTTTTGAAACAATTTGGCTATGTTGAATGTCATACACCTAATAAAGTGACTATTGTTATGCAACCAGATGGAGTTTCCAAGACTTTCTATTCATGCACAACGCTCCCCACCCACCTCCCACTATTTTTACATGCTTGAAGGGACTCACTCTGAGGACCCTCCATGAGTTAAGGCACCACAGACCTACTCACACCAACAATGTCTAGCATTACCTCACCAGTACACTACGGTGCTAAGTCAGTAAATATAAATGTCACCCAGAGCATCAGTGTGTTTGTTGGGACTACTGGGTTATTGTGGTATGTGTTTTTGTTTTTATCTTCTAATCTGCAGCAGCAGATAACTTAGTAGTCATAGTGACCTATGGTATTTTACTATCAGCAAACAGTAGGTGATCTGTTGCTGCAGGATAGAACTGGATAGGTTCTGTTTGATACTAAGATGGCTTCTGGAGGTCAAAGAAAATCTTGATGTTATTGGATTTACACTGTAAGCCCAATGTGGAAGCATTCCAAATACATTCTGCAATGAAGCGGTGTCTGTTTCAGAATTGGGAGCAGCTCCTGGGCTTAATACAGGGAATGGCACTTAACCCCACCCGGACCAGCTACAGCCACTGAAACCAAGGCACCGTTTGAAATAGTAATTGAGTTGAGAATAGCTGCTGCAGACCCATTTTAAAACTACACTGCATTCGTAAAGTACAACTAAATCCATAATACTCCCTTTTGGATAGGGGGTGGTGGTTTAGAAAACCTGTCAGGTTTTTATTGTTGTGTCCCTGTTAGTGAGATTTACCCTCTTCATTTGTCCTGGACATTTATCACTGAAAGTGATATGGTCCAGGACAAATTTTGACCTAACAGGAATATAGGGAAAATCTTCCAATGGGGATACTAGTTCTGGTTATTCTGGTGACATCCAGGGATTTTCCTCACTTAGTGGGATTCTCATTCCCCTCCTATTGTGGCTATCGGACAGGAATCAGACACAGATGGCAAAAAACTGATAGGTTTTATTACCCTCCCTATACTCTATTCAAAATGAAAATAAAACTTTTGGCATTGCTAGTCGATGTAAGAAAGACGTTCACAACATCTTAGACAATTGGAAGCAGCTAATTTAGTGTTTCTCCTTAAAGCTCGTAATAACCTTAACTTGAAGCTGAACGTACCCTTCTCTGGACTAAACAAAAATGTCATGCCAAGTCGAATAAACCAGACTCCATGTTAGCTAGAAAGCTTTGATCATTTAACCTCCATCCACCGACCATTAATTAGAAAACTAGATTTAAAGGAGAACTATGGGGTTAAGGCTTTTCCCCATAGTTCTCCTCAGGGAAACGGGAGGACACAAACTAGCGTCCTCACGTCACCCTAGGCTCAGTATCCCGCGGGCTGTAGCTCGCGGTATACTGAGATGCCGCAGTATACCGCGAGCAGCATCGCGGTATACTGAGACGCTGAAGCGGATCCCGACAATTATGTCTGGATCCGCCCAGCTGCGTGACTGACAGCTGGCTCTGCCTATCTAGAGGCAGAGCCAGCTGTACCCGTCCGTTCCGCCAGTCAGCGCTGGCGGAGGGGGGAATCCAGCCCCTCCCCTGTCACGGCAGAGAGCCGTGACAGGATCGAGAGGTGAGCGGACGCCGGTATGTGTTCGCTCACCTCCCGATCTACTGAGCTGACCTGTGACAGTCTCATTGTCACAGGTCGGCAAAAACTGAAAAGCGCTCACCTCATAGTTCTCCTTTAACAATATTACTAGTAACCCCATCAAGGTCTTAGAGGAATTCCACCACCATCTTGGAAAATTGTATTCAGAACCTACCCCTCCCTCCTCAACCCATGTTTCTTCCTTTTTAGATTCAATAACTTTTCCCTCACTTTCACCCTCTTGTAAGGAATCTAAGATGCTGACATAACAGAGGACAAAGTTCGTTTTGCTATACGTGATCTGAAGTCTGGTAAAAGATGGTCCGGGTGGGTTTTCAGCAGTTTTCGGACCTGCTTGACACGTATCTTAGTTGCCTGGATCGGGACACACTCGCAGCTAATGTGGTCATGCTTCGTAAACCGGACAAGGACCCTCAGATCTGGTCTAATTTTCGAACCATTTCGCCCATTAATGTGGACATTAAGCTCCTTACCAAGATTCTTACATTACGTCTTAATAATTTTTTTGGCCACTTATTAAATGGAGACTAAGTGGGTTTTGTTCCTTGCCGGCAGGCCTCTGATAATATGTGCAAGGTCTTATTGCTGTGTCATTTAGCTTGTCAGCGGAAACTGGAAATGTTCTTGTTGTCATTGGATATGCAGAAGGCATTTGGTTCTATTTCTTGGCCTTATCCATTTGCCACACTTGAAAAATGGGGCTTTGCATCGGGTTTTTGGCCTGGGTGAAGGCGGTTTATTCTCATCCCAGAGCTTTGATTCTGTATCAGGGATTCAGCTCTCTATACTTCCCTATCCACCAAGGTACCCGCCAGGGTTGCCCCTTGTCGCCCATTCTTTTTAGCTTGGCTTTGGAACCCCTTGCTATTTTTCTTAGAGTTAATAAGGATGTCAGGGGACTGGACTTGGCGGGCTATTCGCACAAGCTGTCGTTGTTTGCAGATGATATTTTAGTGACTTTCACGACCCCTCACATATTAGTACTGAACTTGCTGATTTCCATAGAACAATTTGCGCAAGTATCGGGTTTGCGAGGTTAACCATACGAAAAAGCTAGCACTGAACGTATCGCACTCTTTGGATACTACGTTGCAATTGCATCAAAATTTCCGCTTTCACTGGAAACCCTCGCTCCCCTATTTAGGGGTTACTTTTTTCACCTACTTATTCGTCTCCCTACCAAGCAAATTTCCCTGGCCTTACTCATCAACTTAAACAACTCCTGTCCTCCAGGAAACATCTTAATATTTTTTTGATTGGCAGGAATAATGCAATACAAATTATCTTTTTGCCAAATGTGTTTATGTTTTTATGGTCTTGCCGGTCCATGTACCAGCTCATGTTCTCTGTATCCTTCAGAGGGATGTTCTTCGGTTTGTTTGTAGAGATTTGCGCCCAAGGATCAATAAACACATGCTTTTTCATTCCAAGCTGCAAGGTAGTTTGAGGGTTCCTAATTTGGCCACCTATTACAAGGCAGCACAGATTGCGCCACTTACCCTTTTTGTCTTCTCAAGCTGTATCACCTTTGTGGGTCACTATGGACATTGTGGACTCTCACCCTATCTTGGTCTCTAATGTTCCCTGGTTTCCACCTTCCAAACGGCCTCTTGATTCGAACCCAATAATGTTACACACCTTGTGGGTTTGGGACTCGGTCAAATATTCGGGTCGACTCAGTTCACCTTATCTCACTCTTCTATCTTTGACTGGATGCCCACTTTTTGCTCTCGGTATGAATCACCCTGATTTGTTCTGGTAGCATTCCAGGATGTCCACTCTCACTACCCATGGGGCTATGTCATTTGCTCATCTCCAATCTACACATTCAATGCCTAGTTCAGAAATGTTTAGTTTCCTCCAGTTACAATATTTTATACAGTCTTTACCTTGATCTCATCCTCCTCCTTTGAACGGAAAGGTCGTAATGATCCCCACTCTCCAGGCCTAATAACGGTGATACAGGCTTCCTTGTCCGCTAACTGTTCAGTTAGGAAAAACCTATACCAATCCAACTGGGAAGAGGAATTAGGATCCGCACTCTGATGAAGATTGGTCTATGATATGGCAAAATGTTGCATCTTGTTCTAGGAATATCCTAGCATTGGAGAACTCTTATAAGGTTATCTTTCGTTGGTATTATACTCCCAGCATGTATTCATAAAATAATCCCATCCTATTCTCCTTTCTGTTTTCGGAAATGCACTGTCCTGGGCACCATGCAGCATATCTGGTGGGATTGCCCAAGGTCAAGAGACTCTGGATTCGAGTGTATGCATTGATGAATACTGTCTTGGGATGTAACCTAGTCAAGGACCCTTGGGAAGCCCTTTTGCATAAACCCATAGCACAAGTGTCCAAGTGACAACAAGTTCTGATTTATCGTATCTTTATGGCTACCAAACAAACTATTGCTGGATCATGGAAATCTCTAACCCCCC